TTTAACGTCAGTGGTGATTTAAGTAATGAGTTCTACTCTATGGTTAGTAGGTCAACATTTGTGGTTTCTATTTAATTTGCCAGAATTTCCTTTCTTTTGTTTTCTCTTTTCTTTTTTTAGACATGACTTCTGTTACCTCTAATGCCATCGTTTTCCTTGCTGCAATTGGTGAAAACTTTTTTTTGTTTATTTTAAAGTCTTCTGAAGTAGTATAAATATACTCTGAGCCCCTAATTATGGTATTTTTTTTCTGTGCCACCTGCAAGCATTTTACTTTTTTAGCTGCACAGTTAATTTTCTTTAAGTTACAAATTTTATGTAGTTTCCCTTTTTAAAACTTAATGCTATGTAAAGTAAAGTACTCTTGGCTTTTTCTCTTCTCCAAATATATTGAATTTGCACAAGAATTGTTACAGGCAGCTTGTCTGTTGTTTGTAGAGGCAGCAAGCAAAATTCCCTCTCTCTGCTGCATCTTCTAAATGGTTGCTCCAAAAAACATATTTTTATGAAGTCTGAAAGGATATTATCAGCATCACAGCTCCGTGAAACTTTCACAGTGTCAATATGGGCTACTCCAGTCTCCCATTATTATTTTGTTTCTTGTCCATGCAGATTTGGAATGGATGAATAACCTAAGTCTTATGGTTAATACATGGATTCAGCAAATTAGATTATTTTAGTTCAATTCATACCTTTTGCAGTAATAATTGGTAAATCCTGTGAAAGCCTTTCAAAAACTTAGTCTGTTGAGGACACTGACAAGACCAGGTAGCCTTTGACTGGATATAATATACGTGTTTTGTTACAATTTTTTGTCCCAAATGAAATTTTTCAATAAAATAGCAATGAATGAAAAAATACTTTGTTCATTAAGTTCTCCATTTACCAGCCTGGTAATGTAAGTGACTATCTGAATTTTGTATTTGTTTACAACAGATTAGTCACAGTGGGCTTTTCTATGTTGATGAAATTTGGTAGTATAATTTTGAATTTAAATGAAAAATAATGCTTTCAATGAGCTTTTTTTTCATGTTGAATAATAGAGATTACTCTTTTAATGTATTGGAACATCTAAGTTTTCCTATACATCTTATGTTCACATGGGTGGTGAACTGACTAGATGATGAAGTTCACTAATAAAACGTAGAAAAGCTTTCAGCAGGGCCTGGTCACTCAGCTTACGTATATCAATTTAGTAACATCAGTTCCACACTGCTATGATAATTTACACCAGCTGAGGTTCTGGGCACTGATCCTTTTTATTGTGTCTTGACTTTTCTAGCACGTAGGTTAAGCAACATTTGATAACCATATGTTTAGTGTATTGTGCCAGTAGAATAGGACTTAGAAGGTGGAGTGTGGGAAGAATGGGAATTGCAAACATGTATTGTTAGATTTTATTGACTTCAGAATGTGGCATAAATACAATGTCGGGTTCTCTATAAAACAAGGCCCCCATGTGGAGTCAAGACATACAATGATATCCTCTAAAAATTAGTAAAGAAGTCTTAAAATTAGATTTAATTGGTTGTATTTTCTTCTAAGATTATATCTTTAAAAATTTCGCAGTCTCAAAGTAAACTCTTGAAAATGCAAAGCCAGCATGTAAATGTGCATCTAATGCATTAGACTTCTGAAACGTATTTGAGTCTTTATATTTCACTTCAGCGTCCATAAACAGGCAGAAAGCTTTTCACTGTTTGTGCAGAGTGGAAGACAGAAGAGCTTCTCTTAGAATCTCACCCCATTGTTCTAGTGTGATTGAAGGGAGCTGTAAAATAGTAACTGCTGATTATGCAAGAACTACCTAGGTATGTGAGTATTCCGTGAATTTCAGCTTTCTTTGGACACTTAGGTGATCAGTGTACATCCTCTTAGGAAATCTGCAGGGAATGAGTGTGGATGATGGTCAGTGGGGCAGAAAGGAACTACAAAACCAAACATGGATGGAGAGCTGAGTGCATTCCAGTGGAAAACTCAACTGTATAAAAAGAATTGGGCATCTGATTGTGTCAATCTTTTCGTGTTTCATCTGTTGCATGTAAAAAACCGGTTGTTTTTTCAAGTCTAAAAAAAATACTTGCCTTTAGAACAGAATGACTTCTTCTGAGTTGACGGGAGAAGAAGTTACAGTAAATTGGAAAATGTTTGGGTCTGCAAACTTCTTTCTGGAAGTTTCAAAGTCCAGAGAGCCTGCTCGCAAAACCTTGAGGTTTAGCAAACTCCACTGTGGTATGAAGTTTAAATGAGGAAGTATGGTAACACACCACAAAGTGTCCCTTGGGTTGTGAAAAATCACTTCTGTGCTACTTCTGGTTTAGTTAGTTATTATTTGTAAGCCAATTAGTGTTATTTTTCTAGATTAGTATTAGACACTAGTCATCTAGCAAATCTTTTTCTTTTCTTCTGCAGAAGGTATGAATGAAATAACTCTTACTTGTGAATATAAGCAGTTGTGCTTTCATGCCAGTATCAAACCCTCACATTTTAAAAACAATCACCTAACAAACATTTTCATTTCAGCATTCATCTAGGACCTATTACTGCAGATATTCTGAACTGGTCCTTAGTGTGAAAAATGATGACAGCGCATCACTAATTTAGTAACATTTTGATTTCACAGATAGAAAAACAAACAAACAAACAAAAAAAACCCCACATTTTGATCAACTTTGGTTATCTAAATAATTTATTTGCAAAATTTGGTTCACTAAATCTGTTGGCATCTGCAGTCACTGAAATATAGCTTAAAGGCATTGTATTTTTCTTGGCTAGAGGCTACCTTGGTATCTTGTGTTGTATTTGCCCACAAATGCACAAGACTCAGTGCTAGTTAGTGCCATCATTTCCTTGAGCATTTGTTTCTACTTTTGAACCCAAGCACTGTCCTTACAATGTAATGCCCTTCCTTCACATGGCAGAGCCCTAATCCAAGGCTGTGTAACGAAGATTGCAGACTGACTTCAGTGAGCTACAGGGTCTGATGGCAACAGTCTTCCAGTAGAGGGGGTGTGGTGGACATCCTCTGGGTTGTGGGTCTGAAACATCGTAGATTACTCAGCCATATTTGTCAGCTTAACACCAGCGGGCAGCTCTATCCGCTGGCTGCGCTGACACCTTGCTTTGTTATCCTTCCATGCAGCCTTTACTTCTCCCCTCGTGTGACAGTCAAGGAGGCTGCTGCTGGAGCAGGCAACAGAGCTTCCTTACCCTGCTTTTCCAATACTGTGATCAGTGCCATTAACTCAGTATAGTAATGGGGGTAAATTCAAGCTGCTGGAAAAGTTGCAATACATCCCTTGTAGATATTAGTTTGGTTTTTATGACATATAATTGTACTAACATATCAGATACTGGTGTGGTACTGAGATAGCAATGCTAAAAAGTTGGTGTGTTGCTATTAAAATACTAGTTTTTTGAAGCCCCATTTATTTCAACTTCTATGTTTTCTAAATTTGTTTGAGGGGAAATGAATGTCAAGTACTACACTTCATTTTCAAATGTTATTGGTACAATTCTACTTCAATGAAAAGAGATATTTAAAATTTTTCACAGTGTTGTTTCTGGGTTAGCAGAAATTCTCATCTCAAAACCACAATTTTTTTCCCTAATATTTGTTACTAAACATTCTGGTTGAAATTCCTTTCCAAAAAATAAGAAAGTCGGCCTGATCATGGTTGAATTTTGAATTATGTGACTTGATACTCAATTTGGTTTTTTTCTATTATAATTCATTAATAGATAAACAAAATTGTTATCAGTAGACACTATAAGAGCTACACAGAGATGTTGCACTTTGTATGGGCTTTGAAAACCATTTTTTCTTCTTTCCTCTCTTCATTCCTTCTGCCCATGGAGCCTTACACAGCGAGGCTCCAGTTGCCTGTCTAGGGCCTCTACTGCCTACCATGTTGTGAGTGACCATTCCTGTGATTGTGCTGCATATTGACAGCACAGTCTCTGCTAAAAGAAAATTAAGAGTATTTTGAAATAATTACAATGAACAAAACTGTGCAAAATAAGTCAGGAATTAGTATTTCTGTTGATATACGGACAGTAGCAGGAACCGAGGGATGTAGTTTTGGATGTAAAAACTAAAATTCTAGTGGACAAGTCAAACATGAGTAGACTGTTCGGTCAAATAGCTTCGAAGACTAAAATTTTAATGAAAACAGTAAACTGTGGACCAGTATAACCTGCAGGCTGCTGTTCTCTTCTAAGAGACATCAAAAACTTTTTTTGATATTGTACATTCTATTTTGAAAAGTAATTTGAATATACTACCAAATTAAAATCTTTCTTTTCTCAGTCTTTCTGAGTCTGTATTTATGTCTTGACAGTGATTGCAGTAATGATTGGTGTTTCCTAGAAACTGCATGACATTTTATGTATAATACTTGCTACTATCCTACTAACATTAGTGTGTTAGTCTTCCATGTTTAATTTTTAAAAAACTAAGCAATTTTGGAAGAATTTTTATTTATGTAGGATTTTCTTGGTCACTAAGAGATACTGTGCTATAGCTCATGTTTGAGAGGAATGTTTAGGATCTGTAAATTTTTTATGTTTAATTTGTGAAGTTACAGTAGTATGGTGACAAATTCTACATCTTAAGTGTTTACCGATAGGAGTATAATGAAACATACATTTTTAACTTTGAAATACAAACACAATTTCTTATTTACTTTTGCTGTTTTGGATATGTTTTTGAGCACATTTCATGTGCTTTGCTGTTTGCCTGAAGTCGGTACAATTCTTCCTGAGACCTCCCATGCTGTTAAATGTATGGGTAGAATGGTAGCTTCTAAGCACCCCTAAAGAAAACACTTTCAGGTCATGTCATATAACCTGTATTATAAGAACAGCTGTGGGTAAGATTCTAAAAATGAATATCCTGATTTTTTGCATGTTTTTGTTTGGTTTAGTTTGGTTTGGTTTTTTAGATGTGAGACAGAGAATTGTCAAATATAATACATTGGTCTCTTTTTTTTTCTTAATAGATAAAAAAATATTTTGAACTTGAGCCACTTGCACGTGGAAAGCGCTGGATTCTTAAACCCTGCTCCTTGGATGATATGGAGGCAGTAAAAGACAGCTTCTCCCTTCTAATAAACTTGCTAGAAGAGAGAGACTTCGAACCTTCAAGAATGTGAAAGCCAAGAGAAAGAAGAGGTTCCCACGCATCGCTGTACCTGCTCACTCTGTCACAGCTTAATTACAGTGTAGTATCAAGGCTGAGCTGTGATATGTTGTTCATACAGAGTTAATGCAGAATGTCCTTTGGTTAAAATAAATGTTCTGTGAATCAGGTACACAGCTATTTCCAGTAAAGTTGTCTACACTACTGAAGTAGAAAGTTCCTCTTTGTTTACCACTATTTCTGCACACCGCATGTTGCTTTCTTGCACCGCGATCATCCTTGGTAGAAAAATTTACACGCACAAAAACAACATAGTCCGTAAAGGACGAATTCCATGTGTTACCTTGAATTTTAAAAACAATGTTTCTAAAGAATTTATGAGAATAATTTAGCTCATTTATTAACCTCACATTATGGAAAAGCACAGCCACTGAGAACCTTAATAGGATACCTAAAACGCAAGCAGTTTCATGTTAATGCAAAGGGTATTCCTGAAGTTTTACTAAGCGAAAACACAGTTGAAGTAGTGGACTCCACAAGGTAGTTGAGTCTCTTCTGAAGTCACTGCAAAACCCTGCTAGAGGCAGTATGGTGTTTTGCTGGAAGTTTGCAGAAAAATAAATTAACAAACAGATGTGCACAGATAACAGTACTTGGGGAAATCAGTTTATATAAACAGGTGATCTAAATAAAAAGATTTTTAGAAGTATATGAAAGATTTTAGAAATATACAGAAGTTGAATAAAGTAATAATTTTCATTGAAAGTAGTTTTCCATAAGAAAAGCAGAGCAAATATCTGTTAGTTCATCTGTGGAGGCTTTATTGCTAGTTAAAAGTATAAGTGATTTTAAATACTTCCTTTATCACTCATTCTTAGACTACTATTGTTATTGTAACATTGCCAAGGCATCTATCCAGTAATTAAGGGTCTTCCAGTGTTTGTACTATAAGCTTCTCTTTTCAAGGGGATTATATCTTGTTCTTTCAAACTTCCTCTGGGCTAAATGTTACTTAGAAGATGAAAAAGTAGTAATTGGAAACAACATTTGTAATACATTTGGAAAAAATTGATTTGGGTCACGTAACACAGTCCACTTTTCCTCTTTCTTTGTTTTCCCCACTGTAGATTTGCAGTATTTTGGCTACCTTATGTTGATTTTTAAAAAACTCATAAACTGATTTTGTCCACTGAAGAAACGTGCCAGGCCACTGGTTCACAGTGACAACAGGGTATGTGCAGATCAGTCACTGGACTGGTGCATGCCTTGAATGCTGTGCCTTGTGCATTCAGCTACCCTTGTGCATGAGTGTCTGCAAACACAAACTCGAGTGAGGTGTCATTAGTTCCTCATCAACTCTGCTTCCGTCTTGAAACACACAATGCCTTGTTTTCAGGGCTTTAAGCAGCATTTCTTTCCACTCTGAGCATTTATCTTCTGTTTGAAGTTTATTGTAGTTTCTTACTAGTTTATTTGGGGATAAGAAAATAGTAAACATCAGCTTTTGAAGGCTCATAAAAGCCATTTCTCTATTAATTGTAATTTTGCTCTTTGTTAAACAAAATGTTTCTCATAGGAATTTTAGTTTACTTTTCAATTTCCATGAATTTCTTGCATTGCTCCCACTGTTGTAACTGCTTCCTATTGTCAAAAAGAAGCTGGGAAAACTGGTAAACTCCTTGTTTAATTTTGAGATGGAATAGGCAGGAAGCCTGAAGGGCATGTCCTTGCTTTGTTTTATGTTCTCTTTCCTGTCAGGTCAATCGTCTCACTGCTAATACTCTTGGAAACAACCAAGAACTGGAATTGTTCATATTAAAGCGCAGAGGAGCCCTGCTTTGATTCAGTTCTCTCTGCACACTTTAGTCATGACCAGCTGCCCATCAGTTTCTCTTGTGAGGGCTAAGGAGGTTCCCTTCCCTGGTTTTAAAGAGGAACTGGATCTAATGTACATTTCCAAACTCTCTCGTTGCTGACATGAGCTTAAAGGCTACAGAATTCCCAGATTTCCACAAGATTGCCAAATTTCTGTTTTATTTAGGCACGATGAAAAATAAGCAGGGAGGAGGAGTAGGAGCATTATTTCCCAGACAAGGCAGGCAGTTTGGGGAGGCAAAATGTGGGATTCCAAGATGTTACTGCTTTTTCATTGGCCATTAGTTAGAAGATGTGAAATAACTTTTTTTTTTTTTTTTACTATTTTCTCCTGCTTTTGTTTAGTTATGGACCAAAAGGTACAGGAAATAAAAATAAGCCCAACTCTATTGCATTCTTGAAACTGTACTATTTCTACCATCAGTGAGTTTGTCTGGTCCAAAAACTTTAATGGCTCCAACTTTTGGTCATGATCTCCCAGCTATGCACTGTTTGAAGGTGCTACATAACTTACATGGAAATGCCCAAGTCCTTGATAATGTGGTTTTGGAGAATGCCAGTGGCCATTTAGACTAGGACCTTTTGATACTTCAATGTTTTTTCTGTAGGCACATGTCAACTGCACAGAAGCAGTGATTTTAATTTTCAGAATTATTTTGAGTATGCTTTTTCTTACTAATATAGTGAACATTCCTCATCACAGGTTGGAACAATACCTCATAAGTGCTGAAGGCTAAGACCAACACTTAACTTTACTTTGAATGTAGTACTTCTGTGGTTTTGTGTTGTAGATGGACTTAATGGATGTGTACCTTTTAAATGTCTATAAACAACTTCACCTTTTTATGAGGGGATAACAATGTTCATAGCAGCTCATGTCACACTTCCTTGTCTGTAGTGTTGTTGAATGCTCTGGCTATGGTAGAATATGTAAGCACCATGCAGTTTTCAGATAACCAATCTTAACTGCTTTGGTTTTTTGTTTGTTTTAATCTTTTCACATGTGTTTGTCATTTAGGTGGAATAAACTTGGGCACTAGGCTCTTCTTTCCGTGCAAGTTCATTAAGGAGTGAACATTGTCTTTTTAAAAAAAGATATTGTGCTTTAATGTTCTTTAGCCATCTGTTAAATTACTTTGTGTGTGTGTGTGTGTGTGTGTGTGTGTGTGCCCACACTGGGCTTCTTCTCAGACCTGTGGCTGTCTGCGGTGTCTCAGCCGTCAGAATGAAAACATTATCAATCAGTATCCAACAACAGCTGGTTTTGACAACCTTCTGTCTGCTGCCTAATGCTTTACAACTCATCAGTAAGGCTTCTTTGTCTGCCCACTCTGAGCTGGTAATTTTAACTGCTTCATGTTGTGTCCTGTACTTGTACTTTTAGCATTTGTATGGCTTAAAAGTTAAGTCTTAGTGGGTTTTGATATTCTTTCTTGCTGTATAATGCTCCATGTGTATCAGCTTGCCTATTCAAATGCGCTATACAAAAATCTGTGATGTGTTATTTCGTTTAACTTCTTGCATTTCATTATATTTATAGAAGTTGCAGATTTTTGTACCGTATTACTTAATACAGTTGCCTTTTTGTAATGGCAATTAATTTATATTACTAAAGTTTGTATCTTTACTGTAGTCAAAAGTATTAGTTAACTGCCATATTATCTTGACTTTATACTAAAAATACAGTATCAACAGAAGTTGACCCAATCGAGTGGTCAACTGCTGACATGGGGAACTTGTACTGTTTGTGATTTATACATGATTTCCACTATCAAAAAAAAAAAAAAAAAGAAAATAAAATCAACACTGTGTAGAACTGACTTGATAAGTTTTTGTTTCTTGAGTAAGTAGCCAGTTTGGGAGCATGGCATATTACCTTGATGTGGATTCTTCAAGATAAATTATTTACTCATAAGTGAAAACAAATACTACGGTATAATTATTGGTACATCATAAATAGTTGCAAATTCACATACATATGTATGAAATAGAAATTTCCAAAATCAGCTGATTTCATCCACAGCAAGATGTTTTTACTCTGGAAGTATATCTGAAAGATATTGCAGTTTTATTGATGAAACAGAGATTGGAGTCATCCCTACACACAATTATTCCATAATATTAAACTGAGGGACATATTTATGTGACTAGAAATTATTTTTCAATAAATGACACGGCAAAGTATGTATATAAAACAGAAGTTACAGACGCTGAGTAAAGGAATGTATTCTGGGAAAAACAGAAGGCTGCTGAAATGTTATCCTGTCAAACACTGAGTAGAAGGTGCTCTCACAATGCAATTTGTAACAGCTGATGGGAAAACACCACTGCTAAACCAGACTGGAGTTGGTAATGCAGTTGCTGAGGTATGCTTTTCTCATGTCACTGTTTTTTAAATCTGCCTCTTAACCAAGACTAGGAATGAAATGAAAGATTTGTAAACTGAGAATTCTTCTTAATTCTTTTGTTTTACTCAATTAGGGACTGAAAACCAGCTAATCATACCTCATTTGATAGCTCTTAAAAGAATTTTCATTAGCTCATCAGCCCTTTGACCTAATAGTTTAAACAAATAAAAACATCTGTTTGTGTCAGCGGTAGGGTTAGTCATCCAGGGCCCAGGTCAACATGAGGATAAGAGGGAGTCCCATATCCAATATGAAAACAAAAACCATACCTTTTTCAGCATCTGTAGATGAAAAGGACACCTGAAATCAAATAGGCTGTACTGTTAGGTGAAGAAACTGAAGAATATCATTACCCTTTTCAATCCTCTGCCCTCATGAGTGAACTGACTAATTTCTTGTGTGGGTTTGGCTGAAGTTTAATTTAAATATTTCTGAGACATTTATTCTTAATTCTAGCTATTTATAATGTATTTTAGCTTTTATCACAGCTATGTTTAGAGAAACCAAAATAGGCTATGTAATGCTTGTTCATTATATATAAATTTCATAGGAAAATGTGCTATGTGGTATTCTGGTGGGTTTGAATGGGATATCATGTTCAGCACTTCCATTTATAATGTCTTAAATATTTGATTTGTCTTTGATTTTTTAATCAGTGGGTCTCTCGAGGAAAGGCAGCTATGTGAATGTCAATATTGGTACTAACAGTAGTCTGTGGACCTCCAGTTACCTGTAGCAGTAAACTGGGAGAGAACAGAAGTATTCTAATCCTTTCAGGTTTACAGAAAACACAACTGAAGTAATCAGCAAAAGGCCCAGCACTGGTTTGGGATGATTATGGCAAAAGAGACACTCTTCACCTGAAAATAGCCTGAATTTCATAATATTCTGAGTTGGAAGGAACCCACAAGGATCATTGAGTCCGACTCCTGGCCCTGCACAGCACCATCCCCAAGAATGGTGCCATGTGCCTGAGGGCATTGTAAGGAGACTTCCTGAGCTCTGTCTCACTTGGTGCTGTGAGCACTTCCCTGGGGAGCCTGCTCCAGTGCTCAAACACCCTCTGGATGAAGAACCCTTTCCTGATATCCAACCTAAACCTCCCCTGACACAACTCCAGGCCATTCCCTTGGGTCCTGTCACTGGTCACCACAGAGCAGAGGTCAGGGCCTGCTCCTCCTCTTCCCCTCATGAGGAAGTTGTAGACTCTGATGAAATCTCCCCTCAGTCTCCTCTTCTCCAGCCTGGTTTTGGTAAAGACCTTATTTATGATAAAAAGCTGTTGCAATAAATTTCTAAGCACAGAAACATATCCTCACACATGAAATTAACTATATAGATAACTATATATATTTTTGAAAACCTGCCCACTTGCAAAGGGGCAAGAGGCATTAATTGTATCTAAAAATGACAACAAATAAAACCAAGAAAGCCACCACAGTACTTCTTTCTTCACCTATCACCTTGCAAAAGTGAAATGCTGTTGTTAATTTTATTACCATGCAATGTAACTATAATTTATTGCATTTCAGTGTGCACTAGAAAGCATTTGTATGTAATAAGTAAAAGAAGACAAAAAATCCTTTTGTGGTTTTGCAACTTCCACGTATGAAGAGCTGCCATCTTTCTAAGGAAGCATTGAATATTGAAGGACGGGAACTTTGGAACTTCATTATAAAACAGTGCCAGCTGAAATGCTAAATCATGGAAATCCCAAACAAAAGGTCTGGTGCTGTTCAAATGCATAATCGCAGAGATGGTAGGCAGGAGAGAAGGAA